GACACCATTATAACTTCCATACGGGCTTTAACTGATGCGATGTGTATATGAAAAAAAAAATCAAAAATGAAATATAAATCGGGCTCCAAAAATATGCTACTTTAGTGACTTAAACTTTTACCGGTGTAAATAACCAGGAATGTCCTTATTCTATAACTTTATATTTTGGAGGTGTATTTTTGCAGTGGATTTGGATTTAACAACTGTTTCAACAAAAATGAAGAAACTTGTGATAAATTATAGTTACGTTAATCGATTACACACAAGGCTTAAACTAACAATGTGAAAAGTGCAGCTTTATTTACCGTCTATAACTGAGATTATATTAAAGTGTTATATCCGGGTGCATAAACTACATTCATGCAAAAGTGTCAATAGCTGTAACATCCGGATATTACATCATTATTACGCATAAATTTATACTAGGACAAAACGACAACAGTCCTATATCTTATCGAAACTTGAAAGTAAATGACGTACGTACTTTTGAATGCGGGATAGGTTGACCCTTTGTTTTCAATAAAGCGTTGAAAAAAGGAGTTATTTCTTGTTTACGTCAAATATATCTAAGTTATACAAAAGAAAAGGTGTATTTTAAATTTGCATTAATCATTGTTTTGAATAAGTAAAATTTTGTTTAAATAATGAGATTTCCAATCGGAAAGAAATGTGAAAACGATATACAAAAAAAAACAATGTTTGAACATACATTTATTTTCCTTTTTTCTTTGATATTTTTTTCTATCAACAATGCCATAATAAAGGTAACTACAAATATATCTACAAATTTGTTTATTTTATGAAAATTATCAAACGATCAAGTCTTAACACTTGACAAATTGATAAACCAACGACTTTGAATTGAGAATACTGTATAAACGTGCATTTTTATCTTAGTGTTAAGAGTTTTGAGTGGTTTTGGTAACGATTCATGTGATGATTTCTAGAACACTTTATTATCTGCTATATAATAGATATATGTTATACCAGATAATAAATCTGATATATACAAACACCATTAATGCTCAACTTTTGAGAACATTTCAAGTCAGTGCTAGCGTGCGTGTGGGATGTTTCAGTTTTTCATTATCCCTCATGTAAAGACTCAAACCGAGTCTGCAATTTTTATGTGATTTTGTTGTGATTAATTCCTCCGAAACATCACACTTTTTCCAGAGTTTTTCCCTTGTTTTATCTTACATGACACAGAAAACTTTTTCATTAAAGGGATATTCAGGCAAAATAATGACAAAAATATCAAAATGATCTTATGTACTCAAATCACGCTAAAATGACTTTCCTTGACGTTTCATGAATTTCTGTTTAAATTCTATATATTTTAGGTTTGAAGCGTAAATATATCTATATATGTTGAAAAAAATTTAGGCGCCAATAGAATCACTACATTTTAAAACAAGTCAGGTGACTTGAACAAACCCTTCAAGTTACAATAACAGATATTGTGGGTATTGCATGGTTGAAACAAGCTTAGTCATTCATTTGACATGTTCTTTAACGTTTCCAGAGTTCACTTTGACAACTATTGTGAAATGCTAGCACTCTAACCTGACCCACGCGGGTCAAGTTAGGAAACCATCATTTTATTCTTTATATGGAGTTACGTTTTGTTCCATTGACTGTCTAATATATTCATTTTGAGGGCATTTACAGAATAATGAATGAAAAATTCAAAACAAAGAAATGAAAATTTTGCCTGTGTCTCCCTTTAAAATGTGTCATTAAAATGTGTCATTAAAAATACCTTTTCATTTTTAAACTATTAAGGTTCACCCGATCGTGACAATTGATTATGTAGATATTGTCATTTTTTAAAATCTTTGAATCAAGTCAAAGTCAATCATAGACCCCAGAAAGGTACTTTAATAGCAACTATTCATGGGTTTATCCTTATTGTGAACAAGACAAACATCTCAAGGATTTGCATACAACAGAAATCGGTGCAAGTCGGAACAGATGAAAGAACATTTAAATTTTTGATTAGCAACACAAATAAAACCTCACTCGAAGTATTCTGCATAACTGCCAAATATAATGGAAGCATAACCTTAATATATACATCCTTATTCGAATGTTTTTTGTCGAAAAAGATTCAAACTTTGAAAATGGCCTTAAATTCGGTTCTAAACATCTTCTAATATTAAAAAGAAATATAAATGCTTGAGGAGGTCTGGGTGTTAGGTGATGGTTATGATAAGTCAAGTTGATGTGGGTTTAACCCGTCCGGATCTTTAAATTGCTTCATACATAAGCTATCCAGCATACGCATAAAGGTTTTCTACTATAGATGTCTACTTGTGCCAAAAGAGCTCCTTGGTTATCTACTAGAGCAGATTTGATGTCACCAAATGCAGCTTACAAAACTAAGGTATGTATCTTTCTTGTAGCATCTCTACAGTCACTCAAATCTGCTTAAAGGATCAAATGATTAATTACCATCACGGTTCAGTGATCTTCCTGTATGCAATTTGATGTTAAGTTTGTTTTTGTTTTTGTATTTTTGTGTGTATGGTGAAGACCTTTTTACAGTACGATTTTTCCATAGCACCGTATGCTGCATTTTGGCATGCGCATTTTGCGTAAAGCAAAAGCGCAATAACAAAATAATACTTAAAGGCTTTAAAAGGCGTGATTTCAAGTTATGTCAACCAGAAAAAAAGCAATTTTGGGATGAATTAAAGCGGAAAGTACTTAAAACGTGAATTGATATTTATAACAGATATACAAAATTAGCGGGGCTTATAATTCAACGACCAAAAGTCCTCTGTTCAAGGTATCATTATGTGACTTTGTCATCAGTATTTAAGTTAAAACAACAGGGTGTTAAAAATCACATTGTATAACATAATACATGTATTACACAATTGATTATTCTTTGAAAGTGGATTGATATAGCGGTAAGTGTCAAATAGATTGATACGTGACCGGTTGTGATTTGCCAGCTAGACTACAATATCATTCAACCGGGTCGTTTTAGTACGATAGCATAGTTAATTACTTGAAACTATGAAAATGATTAATCGTAATTTAAGTAACATTCATTTATACCAATCTCATCAATGTTTATTGATTTTGTGAAGTGACAAATAGTGTACGTGACGTGCATTTCCGTTTGTTACAAGAAACCGGACAAAATGTGTGTTATTCCACCAACCATCTTAACTTCTCAAAGTTTTGAAAAATTATTTAAATATATATGTGACTTAAAAAATTTCCGTTTGGCAACTCAGTCAAGTCGAATAAAGGATAAAATTAACTTAACTAAAAATGCATTATCACGTGTTCCGACTTTTTTCAGAACGAAAATTAACCTCGATTTTAAATGTTATAAAATTGATATAAAAATGTTATATATTATAGATTACTATAAAAATAGTTTTAATATGGTCGATTTCAACAACAATTAAATGTTTTTCTTTATTTGCTAATACATGTTTATGTATTTCCACATTTTTTACAACAATAATCTCAATGCCAGGTCTGTGATCGTAAGGGGGAATTCTTAAACAATCGTCTTTTCCATTCCTTTTTGGGCAATCTTGGCCAGGCATCTTTTGTGTTTCTGTTAAGAGCTATTTTATATGATTTTCTAAGTTTTACCTTAAACTAACTCGGAATTGACCATGAATTTCTACTTCATTTCTATGTAGGGCAGGGCTCTTTTTTCAAAGGAGCCCTATGCAAATTGCGCATGCGCGAAAAATACTACTTCCGGCCACTTTATCAAAGCAACGGACCGCGTCGTAAAAAGGTCCATATTATTTTAAGTTGTTTTAATTCATTTTATTCATTATGATTTTTATAATTATTATTATAAGGGGCGTCCGTGGCCGAGTGGTTATAGCGTTGACTTCAAAAACACTTTTCCCTCACCGCTGTGGGTTCGAATCCCAACAGGGACTTTGGATTCTGTCATGTGAGTAAGCTATCGTCATATAAAACTTGAATTATAATTAAAGATAACAATTATCACACGGAAACAGAAGCTAAATCATTACCTATAGTCCGTTATTGCATATTTCCGTTTATGACTTGAAAATTAAGAAACAGGTTATATATTATTTAAGTGTAAAACGAAAATTAGTTTTAAAGTATTCATTGAATTACAGTTTAGTTGTTGAATATTTAATTTGTGTTCATTGCGCTGGAAAAGCATTTGATATTATCATATAAAGGTAAAAAGATAAAATATTTTTACTTAAATTTTGGTGACGCTAGCATTTTTAATTTTTTTTTGGTAAATAATTATTGATGTTGTACAAAATTGCACTACTTTAAGTTTAACCGATAACAGGACATCAGTTTAATTCTTTTCTCTATTATTTATTTATTTATCTATTTATTTATTTATTTATTTATTTTTCTTCCTAATTTTGAAATCTAGGACGGTCGAGATATTCATTTGCTGATTGTGCCAGTGTGCCAACTGTTAAAAATCCAAGTTTATTGACTTGTTTATTTGTTGCTATCTAGGGTAGACTATTGATTTAGTTAAAACAGGATTTTTGCACGAATTTGAATGACGTTTCGTAGTTTATTATGTCCTGTATATAGGATATAGGACTAAGATTACAGAAGGGAATATATTCACATTTATAGTCCGGTATGTTGATATTATTTGTATAATTTGATATTTTTATTTATCTATTTAGTTGATTTATTTATTTTTTTAAAATATATTTATTTATTTTATATATATATATATTTATTTATTTTTTGATTCGTGTACATAGTTTGTTCAAAACTTATATAAGGCAACTGTATACTGTACATACATGAAATATGATTATGTTGCATTGTAAAAAAAAACTTTAAATCTGTATAACTAAATCATAATCACGGTTTTACGACTTGAAACCGCGTGATAACGCTTTCACGGCATCGTTTGCATTTTTCACTATCTTTTTTATATAAACATTACGACATTGTGGTTTATAACAATTTTATAGCTGTTATAAAGCATATGTATTTGTGAGTATTTGCAGCTACCCGATGCGTAAACATATGATGCATTTTATGTCTCATTTATTTTTTAATTTACATCATACTTCTTCATTTATACGGTTATTTTAAACACTTAACGCCTACATTTAAATGATTGTTGGTTATAATGACATACGCTATAGTTGCCGTAAATGGAGCGATTCATCAGCGCGACTAACAATTTTATTCATTCCAATTAAAAAATAAATACTTTTACAACTTCATGTTCAAGAAAAGTATATAGCTTCGCAAATAAACGCATTACTGGATAGTTCATTCATACGGGTATTATTACGTTCAATATCTGAATAAATATGAAGTGTTAATATCCATTAACGTTTATTATAAACAGGCATAGTATAGTAATGGATTATAAAATTTTGATTTGAGAGGATATTCTAGTTATATTTCGTTTGAAATTTGTTTAATTCGCTATGCTTATGTACATGTAGACATATAATGATATGCTGCTCTTTCTTCGTACGTATCATTTTGTTATATTACATGACAGTACATTACGTTATCTTACGTTACGTCACGCCATGTCACGTGATGCCATGTCATGTTATTTTGTTATCTTATTAATCTTCGCATATGGAACGAGCGGTGATTTAACTGTTAAGACATCTGTTAATACATGTACTGATCGTCGATTTGAACCTTATTATAACCATAACCATTCTTTATCTTTAATATGAAAAGTGATAAAAAAAAGATTATATTTATATACTTTAGTCAAAAAATATTTCAGTCTGTAACACTTTCATACATGTATCTACTAAATATAAGACCTATTTCATGTATTTTTTGTTTTTAGAACCAGATGCGTAATGGACCGTCTTCGAAGAAAAAAAATCCTTACAATAGTGTTCAGCTGTTTTATACCATGTGGAGTGGCGATCTGGCACAGTGAGTACATCACACAATATATATGAAATGTCTATACAATTATATGAAATGATTTGCAAATTCAAAACAATATTGTATTGAAATACAAACAACACTTACCAAATTAAATACAAGGAATTACACTTAAAAATATTGACAAATGTGTCGCGTCTTAGTGGTAAAAGTGCCATCTCTCAACCGAGAGATCGTGAGTTTGAGCCCTACTGGAGCCACAACCACTTTTCCTCATGTGACTCCCGTACAAGGTTCGGAGAAGCCGACTCGAGAGTTGGAAGCTCCAATTAGCTACACTCAAACTATAATCAATATTATTTAAAGAAATAAAAGACCCTGATAAGTGTCCGCGTTTAATGTTGACAGTAAACAATGAATATGTGCAGTGTATGGTTGAAACGGCCCACAGAGTTGTTTAAATAAGATACAACCGAGCACTTATTATAATATTAAAACCAAAAAATGACATTGTACATTTCAGCAGTGATTTTTGACACTTATTATTAAATGTGTGCTGACAATAGTGTTTGATTTAATCACTTTCTTGAAATTGTCTATCGGCATACCTGCGCGATGTCGGCGTGTTTTGTCTTGTTTGCGTTTATTATTCTTTCTTTTTCGGTTTATTTACTGTCGTATGTCTTTCGCGCTCAAACTTCAGGTGTTTTACTTGACTGAGATAGAACGTGATGATACAGCTGCAGCCCCATTTCAAAGACAACCTTTGTTCTTGTATACACCTGGTGCACGACATCGAGCAATGAAACATCTATCTCATATTAATGTCTCATCCGAAATACCATTACCAAAGTAATGGGGCGTGTCGACCGAACAGTTGGCCCAAGAATTAGTATTTCAGCGAGCTAAAATTGACATATGGGATCTCTGCGTTTGCTTTTGCCGCGTTACATCATTTGTATCGGTCCGTTTACTTTACTTGTTTCAACCATTTTAAAATAATAGATATGACCCCTTTTTCCCCTCTTGCTTATATAACGCAACAAAAAGATGTAGCGTCATTATCGTCTTTTTTGTGTGAATAAATCAACATGGAGCTCAGAATTTAACACTTATAGAAAACAATAGGATTGCCCTCGTCTTTTCTTTAATGTTATAGGAAGTGTAATCCCAAATACTATGTTTCGTGTAATCCTTAATACTATGTTTCGTTAGTCTTCAGGGTGATTTCAAATGATCATAAAATTATTTATTACAAGATCACGTTCAAACAATCATATGGATTCAAATATAGTTCGTATTGTTATTAAATGTTAGTCGACCTAAAAGAAGGCAGGGAAATGTCATACAAACACATTTTGACGTTAACCATCAATTAATTGAATTAATTTGACATTATTCTTGCAATGAATTCATTACGAGAGTACATACGTCGTCTTTTAGAAATGGGAATTATAGAGGAAGGTTGGTGAACGATAGGTGAAGTTAGGAAGTGAGCAAACATACTTTAAGTCTAGGCGTTTCTATTAGTTGGTGGTTTGTTTGGATACAGGCGATGGGGTGATGTTATGGTACAAGAGGAAATTATTTTTACTGGGGCGCCTTCGGAGCGATTTACTCTCTAACTGCGCGTTTATTCAAAACCTGCACGAATAAAAAGATTAAGAGTATCCGCACCCCGATTTAGAGCTACCCACACACTGATTTGAGTGTTTATAAAATAAGATGTCACCAAAAGATAAACCTTCACCACAGGCTCATACATGAATATGAAATTAGATGATTAATGCATGCATTGTCCGACGTTAACATCTTTGTAAAGTACCTTTTTCCTTCTGCATTTTAAAACTTTGCAACGTTTTATTTTGTAAACATTAACATTATTTAACGCACCCGTTAACTGTTCCGAGTAAATCAATTGGCTAGGTAGGTATTTTTGTACATTCAACTGCTGCCCAATATATCATTTGAAGCTATGTTTTTAAAAAGATAAAAATATCAAAAGGTGACATAAAAAAGAACATATATTTTGATAACTTGGTTTAGAAATAACAGTTATATAGAAATTTCTTCCCTCAACCAGACGATATGCTCGCTACTGGTTAACGGGTGTTATCACTGCGGCTAGCGGCTCGAGCATAACAAGTGGTAGGAGGGAAACTGATAATTTTACTCCTTACTCCTTTTTTTCCTTTTAGTTTATACAAATTTATTTTAGTTCGATTGTGTTGGAAGCCATACGCTTATTGAAACACTCTCGAATCCGTTCCTGGAACCAACAAGTACTAAGCAATGAGTGTAAAGTGTCTTGCTCAAGGAAACAACGGCTTGCCCCTGACAGGGTTTGAACTAACGCGGTCAGCAATTCTTAGTTACTACTCCGACGTGTTAACAACTCGGCCACGCCAATTTCGAAGTGATTTTATTTGTATAATGTGTTATGTATGTACATGTATGTATATATTAGTTAAGCATATGACTTAGTTTATTTAAAACGTAGTCAATGTGTTTAATGTGTTTTTTTTTAGAATTATTCAATGTCAATAATTGTTAATACATAGAGGATATTGAATGAGTGTAAGTTTTATACTGAATTTATTACACAAGTTGAATAATAAAATTATATAATGCGAGCCTCTGGCGAGTATAATATTATTTTATTCAGCGAGTGCAATAAATTCAGTAATGAACTTACACGAATTTTATATTCTATTTCTCTTATACCCAAAATAAAGACCGTTAAAAATGAAATAAGAGTCTTTCTTCATTGACGCCCCTATAGTATAACGCTAACAGTTAGCGCGTATTACACTATGTTTGTATAACGCTAATGACGTCATGTCAAAATATATGCACGGCCGTGCAATACCATATTTACGGAGTCGCAATATCGGTACGGGTGTGTGCTAAATGTATATATGACACGAGGGTGAATGCCCTCGACCCCCAAATACCTATAAAAAGGGGGATAAAGCTACCTTTAACAAATTACTCCCTTGTGTATTTAGTAACTAAAAACAAATATGTTGCTGTTTTAATTTTCATAGTGAGAGAGAGAGAGCCTTTAAAAGTCAGTTAGATTTTTTTAAAAGTATGATAGTAAAGCTTTAAATGCTATTAATTATTTGTAATCTTCAATATGCAAATATTCAGGGTTACATGTTTTTTTGAAACAGCGTTTGCAAGCACCATGTGTTCAGTGATAGACATAAATGATGAAAGATTGAATTTTCCATTTTTATGCGCCTATTACAATCAACAAGATCGTGACGCGTAAGACGTGTTTTTTTCCGTCATTGGCGTCACTTTTCTAGATCACCCCTTACTTAAATCAAACATTATTACTGTGGGTAATGTAAAAGTTTATACAATAAAAATATCAAATTATTCTTACTTAGTCTAGCAAAACTGATCACTTAATGTGTCGGTGTCGTTACCTTCCAACATTCGTTAGCGAAAACCTTATACATTAAAAGATCGGCAAATTTACTTTAGATATCCCATATATAGAGGATATTGAATGAAATACTAAATTTATTTACCGAGTTGAATAAAATCATACTATGCGAGTCTCTTGCGAGCATAATATTGTTTTATTCAACGAGTTCAAAAGATTTAGTGTTGAATCTACACGAATATAATATTCTTTTTATCACATATTCAAAAAGGGAACGGTTTACTGCACGGTTTACAGTTAAAACGAGTCATTATTCATTGATGCGCCTCTAGTGTAACGCTAGCATTGGCGCGCTTTAACGCTATGTGTATATGTAGCGTAAATGACGTCACGTCAAGGTGCTATTATACTAGTGTAATATCGTTTTTATTAAATGGCTTTATTATACCGCGCCGCGTTTTTTGTGATAAACAATATAACGAATGCCACGAATTCGTTATTACAATCAAAACTCTTTATTATTACAAATATTTCATAATCAGTTATTTGCAGTTTTGAATAATTGTATGTTAACATGATTAAGTCGCTTTATTTCCTTTTGTCTTTCAAAACAGATCAGCAGAAAAGGTTCGACGGTGAAATCCTTCCAAAAGATCCAAACTTGTGTACAACTCAGAGTATTACATTCACAGGTGTACTTAAGGACGATCCCGTAACGAATTATTCCATCGGCTTTACCTATAAATCTAGAGACACAAACGGAAAATTCGTTACTGTAGACCGGAATAATGTCACATACATAAATGAAACGATTGCTGAATATACAGTGCCCAATATTCCGCCTCTAACTGATCTAAAAATAAAGCAATATATGCATGTTAACAGCTATTATTGGCAAGTCTTTGGTGATAATAATAAAACGTTGCAGCTTGGTGAAACCACCACAGCACTTATTTTCCGTAAGTTCAGATACTATATTTCTTATTATTTTATCGTCAAGGTCTAGCAATTGAAAAGTAGAATAAAATATTGTCTAATTTGATAAAAACAATCGGCAGAAAATAATGCATATTGCATGTGATATTTATTGGAAGTAAACTTTAACTAGCTTCGAATCACTTGCAACGCACCACTGTTGGATTAAGTCCCGTAAAGGAGGACTTTTGATGGAAGCTTCTTGCTTTATTCAGGTACCAGTTCCTGCCCGAAACAAATGCACAAAGGTGTACCAAACTTGTAAAGCTAGTAAGTTGCCATATGTCATGTACACTGTCGTTGTGACATTAAATCCGACAAATCCAATAAATTAAATTATTATCAGCAACAAAATAATATAAATAAGTTTAACAAAACTTTTTGCACACTCTCACGGTAAACTTTGATGAAACAAAATAAAATGTACCCTCTCTATCACGCATGCCCCACCTTCTTATGTTACACAATTGTCAAACTTCATCCTCTCAATAATTATGTCAGAAAATTTTATATCTAGATTATGGAACGAAAACCTGGCGGGGGCATCCGGGGTCTTCTCCAGGGGTTAAGTAGGAAAGTCGTCATATGACCTTTACAATGTTGGAGCGACGAAAACCCACCCTTTGACTGTTACCAGATATAATGATAGATTTTTAACGTCCAAAGGGTATGCATCACATATTAAGTATATGTACAAGTTTCTGGTTTGGTTCAAGTAGGTCTGTTCAGGAGAATATAAAGTATATATGCATGTCTATGTGTGTGTACGAATAAAAAGCATCCGACTATATATCATATTGCATAATAAAAAAATTGATGGAAAGATTACTCATTACCATGCGCGCACACTTTGGTTGCTTCACAGCATAAATGACTTAAGATGTTTCTGCGGCGGCTAGATTATTAATAAATTACATTAACTCTTTTTCTACATAAATATATATATTTAACTAAAAAGAAATCAAGCTAATACGTTTAAGATTTCAGTCTTGTTATAGAATTGTTTGTATAAATTATGATATTAAAAGAAAATCATTTTTCAGCAATGCCCGAGGAAGTTCGTGATTTTGATTGTATAGTGAGTAATTACGAAACGATGATATGTTCCTGGAGCTACGGAACCGACTATGGCTCTTTTATGCCGGAAGTAATTTTTCAGTGGTAAATACGTTTCTTTTTTTATAGTTATTATATTCCCAATGACAATTGTATAAAATGAGATATTTACGACACCAATTTGTATGACACTTTAAAATTGATGATAAATGTAAGCAGCATTGTGAAATAATACTTAAATAATTTGATTTTGAACTGAAAAAGATATAGTAACAACTTAGACTGGATTACAATATTCTTAACAATCTATTACGATGATACGGCGGACGATTTGTTCAATGATACGGAAACGCTTTTGCGTTTTAAAATGTCTATTGTTACTGTTATCAGCTTGTTTGCTAATTTGTATGTTGTTTAAAGTTTTAATTACTTTTGTATTTCATATTCATTATTGTTTATAGGGAGAATATTTAGTGTGTTCAATTTCACAGGAGGAACCCCGTTTACAGTAAAACGTGGACCGAATGTAAATACTTAAACATACAGGATGGGTATTGCACGTGGAATGAGACGAAGGCTGGCTATTTCAAAACTTCAAACATTACCATCAGGTTGACGTTGAAACAGCGGTGCAACATTAACGTAACTTCTGTGTTCCATATAGATACATCAAAAATAGGTTTGTATAATCATACCATATTGCTGAGACGTAAACACATTTAACTTACCCCTTAGTACCATATACCATTTCTAAATAAAATTGACTTGTATGTATCCTGCAGGCGTCCAGATAGGTAAATATATCCACTTATTTTACTTTTAATGTATGCATAACAATTTATAACATCATTTTATTCTGAGTTTCGTAATTATCCACCAAAAACAGGTGTGTATGTATTATGCTATTAAATTGATACAGTTATTTCATATTTCACAACGAGGGGTTATCAAAATGTTCTGAGATAATTGCAAAAATGTGGTGCTGGATATTTTCGCAAGTGGTTATAAATACGGCAGATTATAAAGTTTAGTTTGATGCTTATTAAACAACAAAAATACCTTACTAGAATATAAAATAGTATATCCTGATTATGATAATAGACTGAAAAATCAAATATTTAATTGATGGGATTTGATGGGATCTTAATCTTGTAGATTGTTATTACATTAATGCCATATTATATTCAACCTTTACAAATATCTGCCGTGAAGTTCTGTAGCATGCATTGAAAACAATATGTTTTAATAAGTCTATGCCAAAAACAAGAATTAAAATTATAATTATAATTCGACTTTCGATGCAAATTACCCATGTTTTTACTTTTCCCTCACCATGGAAACAAGAAATTCATGAACGCTCCGAAAATCATGTTTTAATGCTCGCTATATTTTATTATATACTAACGTATCAAAAGCTCATTACACCTAATAAATATACCTAGCAGTCATTAATCTTTCTATGGGAAATGTTCATTTACGTCGAATTGTAGAAGGAGTTGATAAAGGTTAAGTATAAATAATGCATCTTTATCGACTGATAAATGATATAAAGTACTTAACAGATTAAAGATAATTTTGCGGATGTTTGACATTGGTACATTTATATCAAATATTTGTAAAGGGTTTTCAAGTTCTTCAGCAATGGTAAAACGTTTTTAAGATAGTACATCCTTAAGTATATACTTTTGTTAAATACAAAATAAATATTATCTCAATAATGAAAACCGAATTATTTTGTAAACTCGTTGACGAAGCTGTATATGAAAACAATGTTTACGTTTCAGTAAAGCCGAATCCGGTTTCCAGTATCAGATCCAATGTTATCAACAGTACTTGTATCTCATTACTATGGGAAACAACAAATTCTGAACAGTTTTATCCCAAGGAACATCTTATAACATTGTCAAGTCTAGGGGGTCCTGTAACGGTAAGTAATGCATGTAAGACAGTTGTCAATATACATCAGGACAACATCAAGTCACAGTGTCCATTTCAAGGAGAGTGATGAAACTGGCCTGATCGTATGATAATTATATTTTGTGCGAAGACGCCGTGTACATGTAAATGTCAATAATGAGAAGCTTAAGCAAAACATTGTTTGTCTTCTTATCTCCTTGGTTAGAGGATATAAGGAGATATTAAACATTATTATCTATTCAAAGTGTTGTTTATGTTTATAATAGATTGTAAACAATCATTTAAAGAAAATAATATAACTGTAATTATACGTTCAAGGAACTGATCATAGCTTCACGCCCTTTTCATTGCAAAATTCAAATAAATCATAGTCTGTATTCCGCGTTTCCAAATTTGCAGTACCCTTGTCAAGCTCAAACCAATAATACGTCAATACTGTAAACATGCTCCTGCCCGACTCATTTCAAGAAACGTGGATCTGATATATATGCTAAAAATTAAATTGTACTCCAGTGCGTATTATTTCAAATTGCAGAACAATACACTTATAACAACAAGAGACACAGAGAAATTGGAGCATGAACAGACATTTTGTGATATGCATCCATACACAAACTACAGTTTTAATGTTCGTGTCAGGCCTACCGGCCTTTTTTCAGGTTATTTTAGCGATACAGTTGAACATACGTCAACGACCTATTCTGACAGTAAGCCTATTTTTTAATATCAATTCTAAAACATTTAATTTTACGCAATTGTTTAGTTTACTTGTGGCATCGTACCTGATCTTAAATAAGCTTACTTTTACTTAACTTATTAGCTTCAATAATTGTTTTTGATGAATCATCTTTTTTCCAAACATGTTTCTAAGCATTCGTAAATGTTCCTTCAATTTGTCGTTCATAGAAACAAAATAACTTCATTTAGCTTGCTTTACTCTCATTTATTCAAAAGCAGTAAGTGCACACATTTATGTCCGCCCCAGTCATTTATGATATTTATTTATGATATTTTTTATTTATACTACTTTATCCGATGCTAGAAAACTGTCATTATTACATTTAGTGTCGCTGTTGCTAATTTTGACGGGTTGTCAATTTTTAACACGAAAATTAACAATAATTCCTCGCATTGTCACGAACATACATGCATAACACCAGTGGTATTAATAAAGCAAAACGATATCTTTTATTTGAATTTCTGTGCAGTTCCAAGCGCAAGTCCTCAAGTAATAAAAGGGGGCTACAGATTGGACCACAGAGAATGTGAAGATGGCATTGAAAGAAGGCGCGTGTGTATGTTTTGGAAGGTAACTAGCATACCATATTATTTGTTACTTTGAATAAAGATGAACACACATCATATCTTACATATTATAAGATATTCCATTGCCAATAGGTATTATCAAAAAATGGAAATGCTCGCAATTGGTCATTGATTTAAAAAAAGTTATCATTTATACTCATAGGGCTTTTCTGTGGCATATCGCAATGTTTTAGAAATCACAAAATATCGTTATCGGGTAATTAAGGTGTTTTTATAGATTAAAAATAAATTTTATCAAACGCTCCTTCAAAATAGAGTCTGTATTTACTCCATGTATTAATTTCCCATTAGTAATTGTAAAAAAGAATACTCTCAAGAAAGTATCAGAAAGCTCTATATTTAAAATCATACTTGCCTCAAGAGTGTTCGTTAGTTGAAATATAAAGCATTTGTTTCAGCCAATCAAATTTGAGGATCGGAACGGACCAATGAAAGGGCTAGTAGGAGAGTTCACAGCATTACCACCTGCAATCCATAAAGTTAAAGAGAATTGGACCAAGGACGAGATGTATGGATGTTCTACTATACTGTGTAACACAGGTTACATATTCACTATAAAAGCAAGAAATATAAATGGTACATCAAAACAAGGCTCATCCGTTTCAATACCCGCGAAAGGTAAACCAATCATGTACTTTATCTTCTTTATTTCGATGTTAATATGTTGTAAATTTGTTGAAAAATACATTTACCACATTACTAGAAGCCAAGTTTATGACTGTGTTTTCTACTCCCCGTCTGTGTAGACGTGTTGTCTCAAGTTCCAACGTGGGATTCTAGGAATGTCCTTCTTCCGTCTGTCCGTCAGTCTGGCTGCCAGTCTGTCTGTTTGTAACATTTTCGTGTCCGGTCTATATCTCCCACATTCTTTGACATATTTTTTCGAAATTTTGCTCATTGTTTTGCTTACTGTGCAAACGGTAGAATCAGCAATTTCGGCTCAAGGTCAAGGTCACACTTGAAGGTCAAATGTTTAAGCCTGCGTTTCGTGTCCGATCCATATCTCCCATATCTGTGAAGAATTCACCAAATGAACCAAGTTTTTGTGTCTCACAATCCTTCTCGCCACTAATAGTCTATCATATATATATCTCGTGATCTGAGATATAGCCTTATAACATAACGGACAGAAAATCTGATTATAGCTTTACAAGACAATTTCTGAGAGCACGAAAAGCAGTTCGCAGAATAGGGTAATCACGGCTATTCCAGAATGGTGGCGAAACACTTTCAAGAAGAGAACAATATTTGCATTATATGCTGTCATTTTTGTGTCCTCTCCTTATATCTCGCCTGTGTCTAGTTCATCTATATCGCAGATAGTGCGACTTATATGAGAGGTATTAACTTAATACATTTAAGGTTACATTTATATCATTAAACCTCTCTAATTGGTTAAAAGTATATGGACGAGAATCAAAATCTGTTGAGTACTGTATATTGATGAAATAAATTGAGTGACTTAAATAATCCAAGAACTCTATAACGGCAAATTATCCGCGGTTTTTTCCTGATCCGTAGCTTGCACCTAATATTCCTCACTCTGTCAAGCGTACGCAACACACTACCTTCGAGCCACTACACAACCGTTACGAATACTATAAAATACGTACTATACATATATTAAAACTCAATCCGATATGTCGTAATATGTCATCGTCGTCTCTTTATTCTTACATCTTAACGTTCCTCAAATCCATTCGTTTCTAACATGTCACAACTATACATGTCGCATCCAGTTGCATCTCGTCTAAATAACTAGATACCATACATCCAACAGCGTATTATTACCTTAGGTACACTGTATACAACATCATCTAGCTGCTTCCTAGCTGGAATACATCTAACAGTGCTCATCTCATTTATAAATTAGATATCCAATAAAGAGCAAGGATCTGAGTGTCTAAAATAAAGAGCAATTCACACATATCTTTCCACTCTTTCGACACCTGCGCGTCCTACCACGAGTGATAACAAACTACTTAAAAAGTCCACTAGACTAATTATAAACATTACTGGAATGTCAAAAAAGCATGCACACCCATGAGAGTGGTATCTAAGTGGTGTTTTTTTATTTAAGCCTTCTTGCTCATCATTAATTCGTAAAACTGTATGTGTAATGAACTCTGTTAAACTGAAATATTAATATAGCTTATGAATTACATTATGATCACGGCTGTGGTACTGCGTCACACCAACAAGCTAATCGCCCCGTCTGCACCAGTAGCGTTGTACTAGCTGTCCTTTGATTCAGCACGCCCTAAGAAACACTCACATAAGGGTATATTATCAACTATCTCAAATAATCATAAAAATATGTCCCATAAATAATCCACTGAAGCACTACGAGTATGTAGAAATGCCAACAGATACATAGAGTATCGAACGCATGGCGATCAATATATCGAGAAAAAGAGAGTTTAGGACAATGTAAATTGTGAATATACTCGATATAGAATCTGGGACCAATTCACATATAAGAGTGCAGCTAGAAGATATTCATTATACACATAAACATCAGTCCAGCTCTGTATTCTAAAGAATAGACACAGAGAGATTTGGCGAAAAGTGACACCGAGCGGCACGCTTCACAGTACGAGTGAAACAAAAGTCTGTAGAATGATTTTCCAACATTCAATATTCCAAGCTCTAAAGCTTACACACTTATATATACACACAGTGTTCTACCCAGCGTGTTCGAATGTATTCCGAGATTTGTACATTTCTTTTCAAAATCCAATTCAAGCTGTATCCTACTATTTTCTATTCCACATACTACGATTCTTTTTCGAACTTCTTTAAGTTACTTCAACAACCGCAGTGTTTAATATTTCTACATACTGACTCAATTCTCTAATGCACAATCTCGTTTGTCTTAATATCTATTCAGATATGTCGCAGATATACATGGCTAACATCTACTTACACCGAAGACCAAGCACATTATCTACGAGTATGTGCGATTTTGGCTACGTGCTGATAAGTAACGGAACTAGTTAAGATACATAGATTGATACACATACACACATCTCCTAACAAGATTATATCTCTATATATCCACAGTTCACGAGAGATAGTGTGGATGCGTAGTAGTGAGTGAGCGCATGCTCGTGTCATAGTGTCATATACCAACATATGCTCAAGAACACTGTGCATCATTATATAGTGTAAGTATCATATATATGTTAGTAGCTTATACATACAAGTATATATGATATTACATAATAAGAAAATCTCTATCGGCACAACTAAAATATTTTAACGTAGATACAGATAAAAAAGTTTGCATTTGTAACAGTTTCATTTATTCATAGAGATAGCGGAAAGAGTCACAAAAAATCTTAAGAGATAGATTAGTATGAAGTTGAAACTAAAATAAGCCTCTATTACAAACAATGCATACAACCAATATATTAATCTAAACTATCGAACAGCCAATTGAGAATTTAAAGAACACCCACTAATCCGGGATGAACTGGTTTGAATATTCATGCATAGTAGCGATATATGTGCAAGATATACTTCATAACTTATGAAAAATGAAGTTTTAATTAATATGATAAACTACAATAGATTATAGTTATACAAAATTAATGATTCTTTAAAATAAAATGGAATGTAACCAATATGGCGCTTATAAAGATTCATTCTTGTCAGTGTTTTAGAACAATGTACCTTAAATGATCTTATTTCTATAATATCACTATAATTTTATAGCCCGGACACGAGGTTGGTTGGAGAGAAGTCACAGGAAACTCAACAAATACCACCTTTTTTCTCGATACGCCTCAAGACTATGTGTATGGTGTGGGTGCATTAACGGAAAATGATAGTAGCAGTGGTGTAGAATGGCAGGATTGCGTTTATCTGAAACATTCAGGTGAGAACGTTTGTACTAATGTAACTTGTACAATATAATTTACACCATAAAATAATACATAAAGATTTATATACTTAAAAAGAGAAGGTTTAAACTCTAGAAAAAGAGACTTTTTGTGTGATGTAAAATAATATTGTAGATACAAATATATTATAATATCCTTCAAAGTTTTGTCTGTGTATTAAGCTTCGTGCTTGTTCATGTTCAATTGTTTTCTTTTCCGTAAGCCTAGTGTTTAGAAATAAATATCATAAAACTGTTTTCATAATAAATGTCTCAAATTATTTCCGAGTTTTTTTTGCAAAACATAATTTTTAAACATTACAATAATTGATAAAGCATTAGTACATTACCTTACCTAGGGACAACTTCAACACTATAAAGTTGCCAACACTATAAAGTGTTGAGAATTGAGTACCGCTCAAGCCGGTGCTAGGGGGCGTGAGGGATGTTGCACTTATTCATTATCCCTCATGTACAGACTCAATCAAACCGAGTCTGCAATTCTTATGTTATTTTGTTGTGATTAATGCTTCCGAGGGATCACTTTGTTTCCAGAATTTTTTTTTTTTTTCAACTCTCATGCATTGACCAATGCTTCATTAACAAATGCAAAACATTTTTTTACTTGAAGTACCTAAAAGAAGACCAGAGAATGTCGTTGTGTCGACAGGTTCGGAGGATAACAGCTTAGTTGTCACATGGGAGAAATTGTCGTGTACATCAAATGAACCATACATTGCTATGTACAATATACAGTACTACAATGGTAAACAGCGAAGATGTAAGACACACCTGATAATATGTTCTCCTTATTACCAATTTTCATTGACACTTGTTAAAATAATTTTAATTTGACATCCCCTGGTAGTTAGTCATAAAACTAATTAAACGTATGAAAGATCATACTCAATTATTTTACCGCTTGTACTGCTTTAACATGTATTTATCACTTATACTTTTCATATAAATCTATAATTTGTGATTGGTTAATTTTTTATACCCGTAATTATTAATTGGTCAAACCATTTTATCATATTTGATCACATAAATAATTCTTAAAACTTCTGTCTCTATCTAAGGTCTTTACCGGAGTCCTCACCAAGACATTGATCAGACTCGAGAGAAAAATAGACTGTTAATCTTGTGAAACTATAAATTCAACATCCGTATCGCACATTGCATTGGCATATTTTTACTAATTGTTTTGTTCTATTTTTAACTAGCACTTGATATGTCAGAATCAGAAAGAGCGAGGTTGGTTTTGAAAAATCTGAATGAAGATCAAACATATTTTGTGACCGTTAGGGCCGTTACCAAGAATGGAATATATGGTCCAGAGAGTCTGCCTCAAACCGGTGTACCAAGGAATAAAAGTAAGATCACTTGTCGAATTGTAAAGTTTTACTAATATAAATAAATTTTGTGTACATATAGAGTACTTTTCTATATTTGTAAGCAGTCTTTCTTGTTTCTGTTCTTCTAATAGAAGGTTCCCGTCCGTGTTTCAGGAAACAACCATTTATAATATCATTGTAAAATTTTATTTTCACTATTTTTATTCTAAATGACAGAATCTAACAATTGATTTTAGTCAAGTATATTATAGTTCTGTCTAACTTACCTTCAAATTTAGAACAATTTTGACATTATGTTGTGCAATTTATGAGATTTTTTTATTTATTTGAATTCTATTTAAAACTCGAATTTGTACATTGTGTTATTCCCAAAATATTTCACAGTAGCCTTGTTTCACAACTAACTGACTTCTTTTCATAGATGTTATCTTTTGAACATGGCGCTGATGAGTAAGTTTATATTTGAGAATATATTTCACTTCTACATAATGTTATCTTGTTTTAGGTTTAAAGTCATCCGAAATAGTGGGTATAACGCTTGGTGTTCTAGTATGTGTTACTTTCGCCTTCATTGGACTCTTCTGTGCAGTGAGGTAAACATGTAAAATTCGATTATAAAAAATAGTGTTAGTGTGAACATCTGCGGTTTGTTTTATCCATCGTTTGTATAATATATATAATATTGTAAAATAAACTGTATTATCACAATTCAAAAATAGTACTGAAATGTTCATTAATTCTTAGTGTTTGTGTACATACTTTTAATGC